GAATTCTTGTCAATTAGATCATCGAACTATTTAAATGCATTCAATCATGTCACTTGTCGTTAACATTTACCGGGAGTTATGACGTGAGAGTTAGTAAAATTGGTATAATTACACATTTGGTCATTGTTACTTATATATTCTCTCAATTTGATCATAATTTTAATAAATTAAAATAAATTTAATCTTCGAATCAGATCATGCTACGTGGCACTAATATCAAATATCATGACAGTGTCGTCATCTTATTAGAGGATTTAATTTATTTTAATTTAATAGATTTATTTTCCACCAATTAGAGGGTGACACATGTCACCCTCAGGTGAAAAAAAAATTAAGGCGTTAAATTGGGGGAGTGTGAGATTCAAACCTAGGAAACATTGGAGCTTTAGCTCCCTCTCAACCACCGGGCCAAGCAAACTTAAATTTTATACTACATCTTATCTTGTATATTAGTCTAAACTTAAATTCTTAGTATTCTATACTACCTCTTATCTTAAATTCACATATGATTTAAATTAAATTAACATTTTAACATTAAAAATATATTTTTATTTTTATATTAATTTTAAAATATTGTAAGAATAAAGTATATTTTTATCTTAAATTTAAAAAAATAATTTAAAAAATATTTTATTTTTATCTTAATTTTAAAATATTATTTGATTAAAAAATAAATATTTAAGTTAAAGTAAGAATATATTATATTTTTAATTTAAATTAAAATTAAGATAAAAATAAAAATATATTTTATTTAAGTTAAATAAAAATTAAGATAAAAATAAAATATATTTTAAAAGTTAAGATAAAAATAAAATATATTTTATTATTATAATATTTTATTCTTATAATATTTTAAAATGTTAAGATGTTAATTTAATTTAATATAATATGTGAATTTAAGTTAAGATGTAGTATAAAATACTAAGAATTTAAGTTTAGACTAGTATACAATATATATACAATATGTAATCTTCTTTAGACATAAAAGTTTGCTTGGCCTAGTAGTTGAGAGAGCTTAACCTCCCATGTTTCCCAAGTTTGAATCCTACACTCCTCCAATTTAACACCCTAAATTTTCTTTCCACTAGAGGGTGAATTTGATTCGAAGATTAAGTTTATTTGGATTTATTAAAATTAGGACCAAATTCAGAGAATATATAAGTAACAGTGACCAAATGTATAATTAAACAAATTTTACTAATTGTCACGTCAGCACTTCCGTTAAATGTTAGCAGCAGGTGACATGATTGAATGCATTTAAATAATTGGGTGGTCTGATTGACAAAAATTTAAAAATGGTGGTCAAAATGAAAAGGGACTATAGTTTGGTGGTGTGTGGTATAGTTTACCTTATACAAATTTATAAATGTAAAAATATTTATACTTATTATTTTAATGTTAGATTTTTTTTAATTATTAGTATCTAATCTATTGATCAATTATTCTAAATTTGATTTTACAGAGATCTATTATAAAAGTGACTCTCCCAATTCAATTTAAAAATTAAAAAGCAAAAACTAAAAAAGTTTACTTTCACATTTTAAAATATATTTTTAGAATCAACAGTGGTTGGTTCAAGTGGTAAATAGTTTGATATCGTTTAAGAAATGTTTCATGTTCGAGTCCTTGTGTATGCAGAAAATCTCTGCTGGGAGAATCACCCATCAAAGCTAGGAGTACAACCCGGGTCGATCCAAATTAATCAGGGCAAAGTCTTGAAACTGGATGACAATCAAAAAAATATTTTATAACTAAATTATAATTTTAATCTTTAATCGTTATCCTATAATATGCTTATTTCACAATTTACAGACTGATAGTTTTTTTACTAAGACATAATCATATGATCAATAAATTATGTATTTGAAAATTTTATATCCCAACATACCAATTTTTTATATAAAAAATCATTTAAAAGTGCATATATAACATCTTAACTATTTTTGTATAGTACTTAATAGCCAATGATATGTTTTCAATAATATTTTAATTGAATAATTACATTATAATTCTTGGCAAGATTATGATTGGATTATAACTTAACTAATAATTGAGTGACCATCAATGTTTTTTACCTTTAATTTTAGAGATCAACGAAACCGCAACCGATACGACGTCGTTTGGTGGAGAAGTTGGGGAGCTTTTGGCCTATCAGTAGATGGCTAGACTTATTTGTCTTCTCCAGGTCACCAAACTCACAATTTCTAAAAAAGAAAAAAATAATAAGAAAAATAAAGGAAAAAACAAAATCAACTCCAAGAAATCATCTACTACAAATAATTCAGGTTGAATTTTGATCCTTTTATTTCTCCGTCTTATTTTATTCATGATTTTAGTTGAATTTTCATTTTGGTTTTAATTGTTGAAATTTAGGCGGTGAAATGTTTTGGGATTTGATTTGATGAATTGAGAGGGCGGTCACGGGTGAGTCGATTTGTGGAATAATTGAAACGCGTGGAAGCAGGTGACCAGTGGGTAGGCGGCGACCGCGGAGGAGGAGTTGGAGGTGAAGTGAACGAAGATGCCGGAGGAGGATTTGGTGGATGTAAAATTCAGGCTTAATGATGGGTCGGATATCGGTCCGTTTCGGTACTCCTCCACATCCACGGTGGATATGCTTAAGCAAAGAATTGTCTCTGATTGGCCCAAAGGTTTATCATCAGCAATTCATCTTGTTTAGTTTCTTTTCTAATTGCTTATCAAGTTTTTGCTGTTGATTTGTTGTTTAGTAATTGAAATTTACATTTGTAGTAGATTTCTGGGCGAATATCTGTTAAATTTAGAATAAATGTTTTAGCTGGGTAGTAAACATTAATATGCAGAGGTGATCCAATTTAAAATTTGCACTTAATTATTGTTAAAACAAATGAAAAGAGCTGTAGGGTTAACCATAGGATGCAAAACAAAGGGAAATATTTATAGCAAGGTGGTAGCAGAATTTCATGGTAGATACTTTTAGTAGCTTGGGTTTTGATCCTTTCGCCGCAAAGTGGTACCTTTTCTTTGTAAATTGCTACAAACTATGTTACCTGGACTTTTCGCTAAAGTATTTGTGCCCAACATAGTTGGGTCTAGGTATAGGAATACGATCCTTCGAGTGTACGAAATAAAAATTTTAAAAACTGAGCATACTCTTTTCAACTCTCACCATTGAGTTTGGATAACATAGGCTACCAATGGCCTAAGAAATGATGGAGATCCTGTTATATACGATGTACCTGCTTTGATGATGCATTTATTGCATGCGATCAATGTGGAAATGATTAATAGAATGGCAAAATTTCATTATGATTTATAACCGTATAAGATAGAAGGCTATACTTGGCTGTTCTGTGAATACGTGATATTATCTTGAACTGTTGGATTATTATTGGAATATTCCATGGATGCTTTGACTCTAAGTAAATGGATTGCAAAAAGGAATGGTTAATTGTCTTGTGGCCAACATCTATTAGCAATCTTCAGATTTTTATACGTAATACCCAGAAGAAAGCATAAAGGTTAATAGTTTGAAGCACTTTGTTTTAAAATTTTCTGAAATGCTGTCTATTATTAGGTAAGACAATTGTTCCAAAGGCAGTGAATGAAGTCAAACTGATAAGCTCTGGTAAAATTTTGGAGAACGACAAGACTGTTGGTCAATGTAAAGTACCCTTTGGTGATGCTGCAGGCGGGGTTATCATAATGCATGTTGTTGTTCAGCCATCACTTGCAAAAACTAAAACAGGTATTCTTGTCTATCTTCATGTAGAACTTTCTCTTACAATTATAAGAATATTTTTCTTTTGGCAATTACGATTAGCTTGCTTACTAAAGTTGATATGAGGATAGTCCAGCTATTTTACTTGCATTAGTAATGATATAAGCCAAAACTTCTAATTGCATGACTGGTAACCAATGTTTAGATGGATAATTGATATCGTCTTTCTGATGGATTATGATACATGTAGTCCAATTTGTAGGTTGAGGATTTTCTCTATTTCATTTTTTACATGCATTTTGGGAAAAAAAAGTATGTGGAAACTGAGAACTGTTGTTTAAACTTCATCGTTGATCATTGATGAGCATGCTGCTCGAGTTATGATGAGACTACTGAAGGCCTTTTTCCTTCGTTATTTACTGAATGCTATGCTTGCCACTTTTTTGCATCTTTCTACATTTCCAAACGCATTGGTAAGATCCATGCACTCCAAAAGGTTTTGGCCTCGGGATCAATGTCTTTGAAGTTAATTACAAGTAACAATATACGATTAGAATACTATATGTTACAGCATCAAGTGTAACCTTTTGTAACTGATAACATTAAGATGATACCTCTGTGTTTTCTTAAAACTACATGTATCAACCTATTTATGCTTGATTTTGTGTTTGAACAGAAAAGAACGTTGATGATTCACCCAGAAAGATTGTATGTTCCTGTACCATTTTATGAAACCAAACATATAGAGTTGGAAATTCGTTTATGCTGGTAACAATGTTTAAGAACGTAAAACATCGTCTTCGAGTATCCAGTGTGTTTTAGTTGCAAAGTCCATGTTTCCAAGTTCTGAACAGAGAGATGAAGATGTGCATTTTACTTTCGGTTACATTTATGATTGTTTCCAAATACTACCTTGAATCATTTGTAAAGTTGTATAGGCTACTCCATGTAAACACAATTTGCACTACAAATTGCAAGGAGAAATGCCTTTGTATAAATGCTTTCAGTTACTAATTCGGACTAAGGGTGTGCTTTATTTGTGTCTAATACGAGTATTCTTTTTCTATGTATTCGGAAAATCATACTCGTATTTAAATATTTTGTACCATGTTTGGCTCATTTTATTATGCTGAATATTAATATCAAAATAAGAATAAACAAAATTATTAAAGCAAGGACCATGAAAGAAGCATCATCTCATATGTCAATGTCATGATCAAACAAGAAACTTTGATGCAAAAGCATCAATCAATCATCTTCTGGATCACACTTTCTATTTCTCGCAATATTCGGCTCAAAATATACTAGAAGGATCCTCGTACTAGCAAACAATCCCATGTAATATTTATAAGCCCTTAAATCAAAACTCATGTTTCTCCCCCTTCCGATAATCGATCGCCCGACTCGACTTTTCCACCGTATATTCGACATCAAGCAACATTCACTAAACAAGCTTCCCGGCATCACATTGAATCATCTTAATCAATCAATCAAAGGACCAACCAGTAAATGAAACCAATAGGATCATGTGAATATGCATGGAAACCAATTAAGAGCTTGCTTCTATGATATTATTACTAAGAACCAACCAGGAGTTTGCTTTTATTACTAAGAACAGACCACGCTAGAGACCGCAAGAGGGTACGGGAACGTATTGGCATATTGAAACTCGACTGTGCCACCGTTGATCAAGGGCTTGCCATCGTTGACGAGGCAGTCGTTGTACCGCAGGCGCTTGAACACTTTGGGGTTGATGAGATGAGCCGAACTGAACCAGCCGCAGGTTAAGTGAATCCCGGAGATGTCGCAGCCAGTGGCACAGATGTTGAGGATTTCAACTGTGTAGGTGGGGATGCCGCTCGGGAGTGGGGCAGTGGGTCCCTGGTTTATCTCAATGTCAGCTTTGCTACACTTCTCTCCCATATCCGGTTGGGTTCCGCCATTGCTGCTGCACATGCAACAAGGAAAGGACAAAATCAAAAAAGGCTCTCTTTTATAAAGGTCCCACCCAAGAGAAAATGAAAAAAATATCAAAATCCAGAATGTATTCGGTTCTATGGATTCAATTTAGAGACACTTTTTAAGGGGAAAGCTCACCAAAAAAAACATAACCAATAAGGGGAAAGCTCTACAGAGAAAATACACTTTTTAATGGATGATTCACAGGAATTGTAGGGAGAAAGAAAAAGAGACAAATTTCAACCCTAAAAAGCTTGTTATAAGGGAGGGACACAATATGCAAATTGCTTTTAAAGCTTTAGCCTTTTCATCTAACCTTGTCCCTTTTTCGTTCAAAAAAAAAATGAAAACTTCAAATAAAGCTTTGAGTTAGCGCTAGAGAAAAACACTTTTTCTCCAAATAGACCACAAGATTACCATCAAACTTCAAATAACATAGGGTTGCATCAAAAGATGGTGCTAAGTTGTGGTCTAGGCACTGAACTCTGTGGGCTAAACCTGTAAGGCTAAGAGATGGAAACGGTTCAATGGGATATCAATACCCATCTCAAAGATACTGTCCACAGTGACTGAATCATCAACATCAACGGCAAGACGACAGCCATTGTTAACAGTGCGCGTTAGCTTCAACCACAACAAGAAAAAATGCAAAGAAATACAACAGACGTGTGCGCCTCTGACAGTTTTTAAACCGTACGCATAGGTATTTGTTACTAAATTTTAGCATCATCCCAGAAACCAACAACAAAAACCCAGTTTTTTCTTTTTTGGCATTTTATGAAGAAGAAAAAATTTGGGTAAATTCTAGTTTTTTGTTTTTACTTACGAAGAAGCTTGCGATGTGGGGTAAATATGGCGGTGTTGTTCCTTTGATTAATCTTTACCCTCAATAGCCTCAAACCAAACGAGTCACTGATGATTTTACCTTGAACTGCAACAAAATCCCAGAAATAAATAGTAAAAAATGAGAAATGAATGGAATCTAGTTAAAAGAATCCCCTTTATACTAAAATTATAATAAAGAGAAAGAGGACAAAGAAGAAGATAACAAGGAATTTAAAAGAAAAAAAAACATGGACTTCGATAAAAGGAAACAACTATATATATATTAAATCAAAGGAGCAAAATAAAAGAAAAACAGTATCTATGCATGTAAATCACGCACCTGAGAAAAGGGTGACGAGGAAAAGGAATAACACGGAGAAGGAAAACGAAGATAGAACCAAAAGGAGCCGCCGATTCATCGGGGAAGAAGGAGAAAACCTCTTAACAGATTCTCTTCTTAAAAAAAAGTTCTTAGAGGTCAACGAGTGGAATGGGGGAAGTTCAAACAGGTGAGTCGAACCTCTCGAGTTGACAAGGGAAATGCTCAAAACGCCATGAAAAAGAAAACCCAGAAAGCAAGGACTTTCCCTACTTTCGTTTGTTGGGTGTTTAGAAGCTGGGAAAATCTGCATCAAGAACAGCAGAAAATGAATATACACATGTATAAGTAGGAAAATCACATCAATCCATAAAACAGTAAAACGAAAAAGGGAGGATGAAAAATCAACCGTCGGATTCAGATTTAGACTAGAACCAAATCGAAAGTGAACAAAAACCGACTACGTTTCACGAGAGACAAAGTGTAGGCACCAAAACAGACTAAACAGTGACCTAAACGACGGCGATTCGTACCGGTCCAACTCACTAAACAAAGAGTTTCCAAACCCCCTTTTCATTTCAACGCTCTTCACTAAAAGTAGCACTTCTTGAGGGGGGAAAAAGCGAAAGAAATGTTGGCAACGAAAGGGGGAAAAGAGTTTGAAACACATAAAGATACACCGTGGAAGTTGAATAAAAATAGAAAATTAAATTCCAATGGCTAAAATAACGAAAGAGATAAAAAGGATGCTGGAATTTACTGAGCAACTGACAGAGCAACTGTACACAAACAATGCAACAGCGATGCAGAGGAGGATCAGGCCAGATAGAATTGCGCTCATTTATTTATTTCTATGAATTGTATTAATGAGTTTGTTTTCCTTTTTTATTTAACTAAATATATATATATTTGCAGAGAGACAATTTGCAGGAAGATGAACCTGAATGACAGAAATGACAAAACAATAGCATCCCATGAAAGTTCATCGCCATTATTGAATTAAAAAAACAATTTTTTACCTACATTCAACTTTTTTTCTTCTTTTTCAGCTATTAATCTAATTAAAAACACGAGGGGAACAAAGTCTGGATCTTCACCTTATGCCAATGAGGGATATAGATAGGATAAGTAGCAGCAAACAATCAAGACGAAAGCATTTTGGGATTCCTTTTTGCTTGAAAATGGAGGTAGGAGGCAAAGAGAAATGTGGGGTAATTTATAGCTCCAGGAAAAATAATTATTCGAACTCAATTTATTTAAAAAAAAATTATCAATAAAATCATACAATAAATTCAAATATATGTTGGAGTTAAAATACCCAAAATAATATTTCATTGATATAGACATAGTATGAGTTTTGTACATGTTTAATGTCTAATAATGAACCATTTATTTTATTTCTTGTTGTATAAATATTGATTAGTTTTCAATTAAATTTGTGAGATTTGATTGTATTGACAAAATATTTATTTTAGTCCTCGTTGATTTTATACCCTAATATCAATCTTAGACAATTCTTTTTCATTTTTATAATATATAGTAATTATTTGATAAATGTGTAATTATGTATACAAAATCCTAAAATTATGTTAATCTATTTCAATTGCTCACATTTCTACAAAAGGGGGTTTATTATTCCAACTTTGAAAATTACTATATGATTAAAAGAATTTGATAAATATAATTGGCGTTTTTCCCGAAAATCACCAGTGACCGGTATATTTACCGATCTAACACCGGTTAAATTATATGTCCCGATCTAACACCCTTAGCAGTAAAGTGTGCCCCCTGAACCGCGTTATCTACTGACATGGGATACACGTGGGTATAGCACGGATCAAGGGTCGCGCCTTTCCTGTATATCTGCCACGCGTCAGAAAGGCGCCCCTGCCCCGCGCTATATGTTTAATTACACCCATACCCCGATGCTTCACACCCTAATCCTCCCTATAAATACCTCCATCCTCAATCACTTTCATCACACCAAATTCTCTCAACTTCTCTCAAATACTCTTATATTCTCTATTTAAGGTATATTTTATTATATTTTTAATATTTTGTATTTAATTTATTTAAGTATTTTAATTTATTTAATATTTTACTTATATAATTTTTTTTTGCAGATATATAATGGAAGACGATCTACTTCGCTTGGAGGAAAATCATATATCTCGACACTTTGCTGATACGATAACATTTTAACGTTTTAATTTAATTTAAATTATTAGTAATAATTTGTTAATTTATTTAATGCATGATTATTAGATTAAGAATTAATTTTTGTAATTATTTATTTTTAGGAGAAGGACCGTGTATTAAATCTTTTATTAGGAACCTTAAGTTAGTGATATCTAGTCGTGTCTTGCCGTATTTAGTAGATGTTGGATTTGGTTACATAGGTAGATATAAGGGTTACTGTAAGATAGAACCAAACCTTATCTCTGTCTTAGTATAGCGGTGGAGGCCGGAGACCCACACATTTCATCTTCCGTGCGGAGAGTGCACGATTACACTTGAGGATGTTGCTATGCACCTGGGGCTTCCGGTGGATGGGGATGTTATATCAGGGATCGCACAGGGTTTCTAGACTACTTTGTGTCGGGAAAATCTAGGACGTGTCCCATAAAGTTTTAACGGTGGTCGGATACTGTTAAATTGGTTATATGCCAATTTTCGGGAGTTGAGCGAGGACACATCTGAGGATGAAGTTAAAATATATGCACGGGCATGCATACTGTAGCTGATATGAGGGTTGTTGATGCTGGACAAATCGCGCAACCAAGTTCACTGCATGTGGTTGCGACATCTGAGCGACTTTCATCTGGCCGGATCATTCAGTTGGGGCTCAGCAGTTTTGACTTTGCTGTACAGGGAGATGTGTCGAGCCACTTACTACAGGCGTAATACTATCGGCGGATGTCTCCTGCTGCTGCAGTCTTGAGCATGGTATCGATTACCCTTTTATGTCCCGTTGTGAAGAACCCATACGTATTTCCACTACTCCTAAGGTAATTATAAAACTAATTTCGTATATTAATAATTTTATAAAGCGTATAATAAATTTTTTCCTTGAATAGATGGTCTACTGATAGGAAAAATCATCAAGAGCTACTGATGATTTAGAAAAATTAGGGTGTTAATCGATCAGAAGGCTGACACACATGTATGAATTTTATTTAAAAATCGATTTAGAGTATATTATATAATTAGATTATTATTTTGATAAAAATTATATATTTGTTTTAGTTTGAATGGGTGCCATATTCTATTGATGATGTGAGGGCGGTGATCCCACCTGAGTTGAGGAGCCCATCAGATGTTTGGATGGCGATGGTCCCCTTGATCTGTTATGCAACCGTCTAGTGGCACTCCACTGATCGCGTGCTCCGACAATTTGGTTCTTTTCAATCAATTCCGGAAGCACCTCGCAATATGGATGAGTTGTATAGCACAGATAGACGCGACAATACAGATACATATTGGCTGGTGAGGCATCATGAGTGGGTAGTGTTGTGGGAGGATCGACATCGGCGCTTTCCCCGTAGAGAGCCCATTTTACTTGACCTCTTGATGGTTGCTGACGGTTATTATGAGTAGTTTAACAGTAACGAGAAACCGCTTCTGCTTCCCGAGGATTCACGAGGGCAGACCTTTCCGCGACATAGACATAGACATTCACCGACACAGCACTATCGTCCCCCGACTCGTGGACGGAGAGCAGGTGCTTCCGGTTAATCCTCAGCTGCACCAGCAGGACCTTCACAACAGCCACCGTTTCCAGCGACTTACATACCACAGCCATATATGATGCCGCCACCGCCTTTCCATTACCAGATGCCGCCGCCGCCTTCACCTGGTTTTATGACCCCGCCGCCGCCACCGTCACAGATGACCCCTCTTGGAGGCTATTATGGGTCTATGTTTACATATCTGACTTGGGGTTCATATACTGGATATTTGGCGGGTTCAGCCTCATCACCCATGGCTGCAACACAGACACCTCCTGTACAGTTTTCACACTCAGCGATGTCTGGGTTTTATGAGTTTTCCCATTTTTCGCAGGCCGGTGGGATAGTCAGTCATACACCTCCAGGGTCCTTATTCTATGGAGGTGCTTCATCGTCATCAGCTCCTCATCAACCTAATGTACCTACTTAGGACGACGACGACGACGACGACGATGATGGTGATGATGATGACAACGAAGAGTCACAACCAGTGATACGAAGAAATCCTCCTCGAGACCGACAGCCACCGCCCTGCGGAACATATTCGCGTCGCAGGCATCGATAGATTTTATTTTTTTATTATATTTGTATTTAGTTTATTGGAATTTTTAATTGTAATTTTTTATTATTTTTTATTTAATACTTACTTTATTTTGTTAAATTTGTTGGACTTTTTTTAATGTATTTCAGTTAATTTTGTTTATTACCATTTAATATCAGTTATTGTAATTTTGTTATCATTTACCATTTAATACTTATTGTAAGTTTGTTGTATTTAAAATTATTCTGAAATACCAAATTGTTATTAGTTTGATAAAATTTAATGATTGTGTTCGATAACTTTCTTACGTTTGTCACTTATTATCTCTTTTATTATAATCATATATAACGCAAACGTCCAATATCGTATTATTGTATCATTTTTTAATCTTCATCAGCGATTATCGAATGACATTAACTTGAAGTAAATGCAAATTAAAGTACAAGAATTATTATTTGATAAACAAATACATCATTTCCTCATCAATTGTTACTTGATGGCAACAGAAGTGGACATGTTTTTCTAGTATGTTCTGGGTTTCTACAATGCCACATATTCTGTCTTGTCTAGATCTTTCTCGAATATCCATATCGCAATGAATTCGATTGGATTTTGGATGACCACACTTCCTTAATAAACTCGGATTTGGTACAATCGGAAGCCAATCTTGAACCTCATCAGGGTCTTTATCATTACCTATGGGGGGAAACTCAAATTCGTATACCTTAAAAACTTCATATAGTAGGTATACGAGATCCACAAAATGGTTATAATCTTGACGTGTATGCGAGCAAGCTGCTATCACATGAGATCATGGATACTTCAGAGCTTGAAAAAACCTGCAGTCGCACGTTCTATCCCTTAGATTTACTCTTAACAACACACCTTCAATCCCTTGAAGAGGTCGCGGCAACTCTGTGACACGAAACATTTCATGCCTTCTAGAGAAACTTGTTACATACATTCCATTTTATGCAAAAAAAATTATGTAGATCTGCAACTAATCTAGGGTGATAGACATGACCGCCTTGCATCT